ACACACACACACACACACTGCTATCACTAGCCATCATCTGTACACCTGCCATACAGAATTACCCCTCCAACTCTAAAAGATAACAGAGGTTGCCAATGAAACGGCCACACACACACACACACACTCATGTTATATATTAGCTCATTTTGTCTATTTTTTGTCAGGTGCTCATGCAAACACACACGTGCACACATACACACACACAATCCCTTTTACTTCTTGCAGCAACTTCATCACATGCCATTCACACTTCACTTCAGCTCGTCGTGGAGCTCTCTCTGCCAAATCTTCGCAGGCGCTCCTCAATTTCCTCCTGAAAGCACATAATTAACTAATCACATTCATATTCATTCGAATTTATTGCCTTTCATTGGCTTCAGAAATAACACATCCGTTTGCAGAGCCGAAAGCGCCTCCCACTGTATGCACGTACGTGTATGCGTATTTTAGTGCAGACTGCAGATTGAGTATTGATGTTTTGTGTGCTTTAGTGTGTTATGAAATGGATCAGAAAGGAGTTTGCTCTTATTTTACATCACTTTATTAAGTGAAAGAAGAAAGTGTTGTCTCTTCTCTCTCTGGGATAAAGGTGGGATCATTTAGGCGTTGCACGCATGTGCGTGCCTGTGTAGATGTGTGTGTTTGTGTGAATCTGTGAATTGCCGTGTATATATGAAAGTGATAGAGACAACATATATACACTCTATCTGGCAAATTACATTATGAGAGGCTGTTTCTGTGCGTGTTGGTGCGAGCGTAAACGAAAGTGATAGACTCTGTGTGTGCGCCAGTGGGCCGCATTACCGCATTATTGAATGAGGCGGCCCAAGGTACAAACGAGAAAATGAAATAACTGCTGTATTGATTAATGTTAAGGGTCTGAACTAAATTATACAATGCTTTTAACACAGGACAGATCTCTGTTCTGGGAAGAGCCACGCAAGGTTGTGGGGGAGCGGAGCAACAGAAAGACAGAAACTCAATAACCTTATCTCCTCTCTTCACCTCTCCTCCTCCCTCTTTGCTTTCTCATCTCCTCTCATTTCCTCACGTTTGTCTCCTCTCCATCTCTCCTCTCCTCTATCTGCTCCCTCCTTTCCTCAAATCTCTTTGCACATCTTCCCCCCATCACCCTCATTTATTCCCAAGCCCCATCCTCTTTCATTTCCTCCCTCTTGTATCCTCTCTCATCCATCCATGCCCCCTGCTTCCCTACATCCCGTTGTCACCTTTTCTCTTCGGTCCCCCTCCCGCTTCCCCGTGTCGTTGTCTGTGCAGTCCAATCTACAAAGCTACATGCATATTCAGAATACTTTCAAAGAGTCTGACAGGAAATATTGAAACACCTATTGTTCAGCGCACAAAGGTACACAGTTAAAACTAATCACTAGTTTCTTCAAACAGAAGACGAGAGGAAAATGTGGTTTTGCAGGGTTTAACAGCACCTTTGTAGAGCAGCCTTTTTAATGTTTGTGCGTGTGCGTGTGTGTGTGTGTCAGATGAGAAGGACTTCGGTAATTGAGGGTTTTCCAAATGGGCCAATTGTTGCAGCGATTGTAAAACGCATAGAGGATGGATGGATAAAATGAGGGACGGTGGAGATAAAAAGGAGATAAGGAGATGGAGAGGGGCAGGGAGGAGGGGATGATGGGATGGGGGTAGATTGCTGCACTTTTCTGATGTGCAGTGAGACAGACAGAAAAAAAGAGCATTTTTTTCCTCTCCTTTTCTGCATGTGGCCTTCTAATTAGCATGACAATAGCAGCAATCAGGTGATAGACAGCAGAGCAGGTTATTAGTGTGGCACATAGGAGCGGATGAAGGCTTATGAGGTTTTAAGCAGTGAACACAGACACACATACACTCACACTAATAGACAGAATATTGTGCCAGAACTGTGCCAGATTTGTTACTACTACCACAACTTTGGTTAAATCAGCCACACTTTTACTAAAGATACTTATAGTACTTTTACTATTGGCACATCACAGCCATTTACATAATTAGTACAACAAAGGCTCCTATTGTACTTCATGTAACAACAAGATCAAGAGCCCCAATGCGGCCAACAGTTAACATTACTCCTGTCTGCACTGTTGAAACAAGTAATCCATTATCCAATTAAAGATCAAAAGAAAATTATGCTGCAGTTATTAAGATAATTTAGTGACTTCTCAAGAAAAATATTACATCATAGAAAACTAATAGTGTTTGAATTCTGGACTACTGGCAAGAAAAGAAAAAAAAATATGATTTTAGCCTTGAAAATGGAAATACGTATTATCAGGAGTTCTGTTGCAGTACATTCTGTCATTTGTATAAGAAAGTATTGTGCAGTACAACACGACTCCCTTCAAGTTTACACCTACCTACCTACTCCTACTCAAATCAATACTCCACCTTCTCCAGTCTGCTACTGTTTACACCAACACCTGAGTCTAGATCAGCTGGAGTCAGCCTGTCTGATTAGACTGAGGGTGGTGTAAAAGGACCAGCTGGGGCTGCAGAAAAGGGCCTGAAGGAATTATTGACCCCTCTCAACTCTCACCCCCTCGCTCGCACATGCACACCCGGGGCTGTGACCTGTGAAATTACTGCTTTGCTCGTGAGATTTGTTTCTGAGGGGCTCTATCAGCTTCTCAATGTGCCGTGAAGACAGGTGAGAAGGCAGACACAAAGTAATGCGTGTAGAAGAAGGCGAGCGCTCATTAAATACACCTGCTAAAAGCGCATAAACGTATTTTTACATTCAAAGAACACTACGAAGTAATGAGTACTTGATTATGTTAAAGCAAATCACTTGTCAAGTCGTTGCTCAGCTCTTTAACCGTCTCCCGTGTCAACCCCGCTGATGTCCTCTAACCCAAAACGTCAAGGATTTGGCAGTAATTCTTCAATTAATTCTGGTTTTTTCAAACAGAATAGTGGCAGTTACTGGAAAAAAAGAGTGCTATAATTACACGTTTACATGTTACATGTCTCTCATGTCTGAAAGAGCAAGAGAGATAGACACAGACAGAGCGAGAGAGAGAGACAAAGAGAGTGACAGCACAAGAAGAAATTAATAAGAAATGCAGTGAAGTCTCATTTGTAATATGCATGCTGTTGAATATTCATGGGGCCAAAAACACATCCAATTAACTTTATGAATTATTAATAATTGCAATAAAAGGCCGTGTATATGCACTTGCTCTTTGTTGGCCTGAGTTGCACTGAACAGCTTGGTGTGATGGACTGAAAATCTTTGTTTGTGTCACTAAGCAGGAAGAGGAGAGAGTCCGATTAGGGCAAAAGCCGAGGCTTATTTTGGTGCCTGTATCTTTATAAATATGATGATTCTCTCTCTTATTTGCTTGTCTATAGACTGCCCTCAAATATCTGTCAGATCAGAAGAAGCTTTCAGATTTAACCTATACTGTGCTGTAATGCAGGCGAGCTAATTGTTAGGGTTGACACATTTTCAGTATTTGTAACTGGGCATCTTAACCATTATAACGTGACTGTTATCCAGTGCTGCACAGCCAAGAGAAATATTTCTGTAATGACAACTCGTAATTTGTAAATTAACAGTTAATTAAATATGTAATAATCTATAATGTTAATTAAACATGAGTAATTCATGCTACTTCTCGTGTAATTAAAAATCATTTATTTTAAAAACTTTATGTTGTACTATATGTTAAGTAGCAATCAAATTCTGATGACATCAGCACACACACAAAATGATATACTTTAGTCATTATTATCATTTTGTTGTAAAAAGTTAATGTGGACTTGTTTTATTCCCATGGGAGGGTCAATAGGCCACAAGCAAGCAGCGTCCGAGAGAGATGGACAATGTGATGAGAATAGTGAGATGGGTGTCAGTCATCATTGATCTTCATTTATATAATGATGCTTGGGCTCTTAAAATCACATTTTAACACACTGGTAACCTAAGTGTCATTTCTCATCCCACAGGGTCATGTTTGTGAATGGGTCTATTTTGTAAGTGAAAGAAACAAGCAGGGAATAAGCTGTACAATTATTTTTTAACTTTAGCTATCCAAATACTGTTTATAGATGCATTACAGTGTATTTATTAACAATTTCCAAGGTGTTTTAAACATTAGTTGCAGTTTTACAATAATATCTGATTCATTACAGATGATTTACAAACTAATTATTAACTAATTTGATTACGATGAATAAGAAGTAGTTCATTGTTTGTTAACATCCAGATATTAACTGAAGATGAATCAGCTATAAATGTGCAATTGTTGAGAAATTAAAAATCTTCTTAACTTTAATGCCTCCAGCCACTAACAAGTGTGTATGATACTTATTGTAAAATAGTTTTGCAGAAATCCAAAAGTTGAAATTATGATGGGACCACTACAAACAAAATATTGTAGATTACTCAGGCTACAGTCTCAAAGAGCTAGAGACAAGGAAAAATGTACATTTTCCAACTGTTTGGCAAGTAGTTTCTGGAAAATCGGTGGCTAAAGCCCAGTTACACAGGTCTAGAGATTGATCTGTCAGTCCAGTGCAGCTCCATATACCAACCAGTGCAACCAGTTACCCACAGTGACTGCCAGCAACCTACTGTAACCACTTCCAACGGTTAGAGAATATGTATTTTTCCCTAGCAACCTGTGGTTGCCAGGGGGTCACGCAATACCTGCATGACTAGGCTGCACAACAGATTTCATAGTGAAAGCTAGAAACCTCCAGCAACTACTTACCAACTGGTTAGGGAATATGCATTTTTCCCAAGCCTGTGGTTCCCAGGGATTTAACCACCAGGTCTCTAAGCCTGAGCGATTGAAACCATAGTACAAAAAAACAGAAAAGATCCTTTTTTTCCCCTAAAATTAACAATTGTGACATATGATCAATAAAATTAATAATTATCTGTTGGCTGTCACATGTATATTTGACATTTTCCTTTATGTATTTTGGTTGTGAACCTCTCATAAGGGCAGATATATCCAGACATAGCAAGAATCAGGATTTCCTTTGAATTGCTTTGATGAATCCTTGCACTTCTTTCAATCTTTGGGCTCAAAGGCATTACGTCGATAGAGATAGTCAGCTGGAGGTGTCTGTGTAGTATTTTCACATTTATCTGGGTAAACGTAGCTTTTACGTTGTCAGACATGGAGTGAGAATGACAAAGAGAGTGAGAGAAAGAGAGTGCTAGAGGGTGAGGAGATGAGACTGGGATTAAGTGAATGAGACAGACAGCGAGAATGGAATAGAGCGAACCAGGGGAGCCACTGAAAGAGAGGGATGGACACTGACTGAGAGAGAAAGCAGCAGCGCGAGATAGGGGTCTGAGACAAGAGCCGAATAGATTTCGAGAACGATGGAGTGAATGATCGAGAGAGCGTGGCTCAGCGATAACCAATCAACTATCTCGTTGTACCAGCGCTGCCTTATCTAACACGAACACACGCACTCATTCTAATTTGCCTAAAAACAATCCTGTGAAGTAAACAAATGGTCATTTAAGAGGAGGATGGTTACATCACATGCACACTGCCATGCGTCACCGCTGTGTTACCATGGTAATGGAGCTTTTATCTGATCCAGGGTCAGCTTCGATTTACATCACTGACAGCTCTGCTAAGTCTCAAACAGGTGTGCGACACACAGAGATCGACACAAGAGAAGGGAGAGGGGAGTGAAGGACTCCTTAAAAACATCGTCGAACCAGCCACAAACAGAATAGCGTAAAGGCTTCGTCACACTGTTGCCTTCACTTACATCTCGTGACGACGCCCTCCAGCCTGATGATGTTCGCGTGGTCAAACTGTCCCATAATGGAGGCCTCAGACAGGAAGTCCCGCCTCTGTTTGTCAGAGTATCCTGCTTTCAAACTCTTGATGGCAACGTAGATCTCTCTTTTCCCCTGCATACGCAGCCGGCCACTGCACACCTCGCCAAACTCTCCTACACGTGTGCACAGACACATACATTGAGTTTAACATGGTCTTTTATTGACTCCTTTTAATCCTTAAAATTAAGAAATCATTTAATCCCTTTTTCCTTTATTAAAGTAGTCTACTGCTGGTTTTTTTTATGACAACTCACCAGCTCCGATGACTCTCTCTATGCGAATATTGGAAGCATCTATCTCTTTGGCAAAGTCTCTGACAGCCTGGTTGGGGTCTTCGTAGGTGTGAGGATGGATGTAAGTCCTGCTGCCTGGAAGCTTGACTGCACAAGTGGAAAAGTGAGGAAATGGGCACAGAATTTAATTTGCTTACAGCTTAAAAACATGCATTGTAAGAAAATCAGGCCATGTTGGAGATATGGTATGGAATATTAGGAAAGTTCATGGAATTTTTATGGTAGTTTGGAAACACTTTCCTCAACACTGACTTAGTGTCTAAGCAAATATTTGTACAGCTTAAATTCGTGTTGAGACGGGAGCTTGAGCGCTTTGTCTGAGTGACATTACAAATGATTACATAATAATAAACACATATCTACTTTGTTAGCAGTGGTGTGAAAATGACTCAGAATTTTAACAGGGACCCATAAGGCGCTTTGCTCTGCCAGCAAACATTTATGCATGAAACTGTGAAACAATGTGGTTTATTCGGTTAGGATGTGAAAAAATTACAGATTTATGTTCTGGCTCCAACTGTTAAAGTTCTTATTGTACATTTAATTTGCAAACAAAGCCCGACTGCATTACATGCATGTGAAAAAATAAGGGGTTAATTCTGAGGACGTTGTCACATTAGTGCTTGCCTTTGTTCATTTACTGAAAAATATTCCACCATCTGTTTGTTGTTTACAGCCATAAATACATGCAGTGATATGATTCATAACATGTGGGTGGGAAGTCTGGTTTTAAGACAAATGACATGCAGATAATATTTATCTAATATAATATTATCTGGCTCTGCACATGCTCGTGTCTTTACCTCGCCCATGTTGGAACTGCATCTTTTCTTCATCGGGGTCTTGCTTGGCTTTGATATATCCACAGTGCCTGAAAAAGAGATCATTTGTGTTCTAATGCTGTACAATAAACAACTCTAAGCTCACAGTAGTGACTATTCTTCCACCACAGCAACGCCACCATCTTCAACACCAACGAAGGACATGCACACTCACTGGCCACTTTGTTAGGTACACCTGTTCAGCTTCTTGTTAATGCAACTATGCAATAAGATAATCACATGGCAGCATCTTTGGAACATCATGATGACCTGGGGTACTTTAAATGTAGCGTCAAAATAGGGAAGAAAGGTAACTATGAACTGAGCAGGAATGGACTGACTACTCATGGTGAAAATGTCTTTATAATGCCACTGGTTAGAGGAAAATGGTCTGCTTTGAGTTAACTGGAAAGCAACAGTAACTCAAATATTCACTCACTACAACCAAGCCATGCAGAAGAGCATCTCTGAATGCACAACATGTGGAAAAAATATGTGGAGGTGCCACAGATGTCAGAGCCCACTTAGTTTTTCAGGCAGTTTTGAAGGAAAAAGCGGGTCCAATCCAGTACTAGTAAGGTGTACCTACTAAAGTGGACTGTGGAGTATGTATGTAATTTGCACATATCCGTTTGTTATTTTAAATCAACGTTATTTTCAGGGAAATCTCAAACTGTGCATCGTTGACAGTTTTCCTTTTGTCTCCACACACCTCTTTCCTCTGAATAAAAGAAGGCTGGAGGAAAAAATAAAAACAACCCTTTTTATATCTCTCTGCTTCCAGTGTTCATTGCAGTCCTCCTCTCTGAGCTCTTATGCCCGAGGTTAGAGAATTAATGTGTTTGTATATGTATAAGGCAGAGATCAATGCACTAATGCACTCCTCTGTACCTTCCCTTGGACCCTTCTGGCCATCAAGCACCGCTTTTAACTGTGGCCACACACACACCCACATTTATGCCCTTTCCCCAGCCCCCTTCGGGCACATTGCAGCAAGGGTCAGCCCAATGATCAAGACAAAATATTGACAAATTGATCAGCTCAATCTTGCACTGCAGCTGTGTGGAAGTGTTAACTTTTTCTGTCTTACAGACCTCGCGGGGGAGGATTTGTGTTTCTGTGTGTGTTTGTGTGTTCCTGACAGAACGGTGTATTTTCTCTCCACTTTGTTGGTCGTTTGCCTCAAACAGTGTTTAAGAGCTATAATCAACCATAACACTGTCTCTGAGATTTACCGCACCTTTAAATTTAGATCAAAACTTCAGGACAAAAACATAAAATGTAAAAGCAGTATCATATAATGGTTCACTAACCACAACATAAATACCACATGGTTTCTATTTTTCTCTCCTCCTCTTTCATTTCAAGGTAATTTACAATAAGTGAATTTGTGAATGTTTATTTATTTGTTTTTTCTTTGCTTTGTATTCTTTAGTTTATTACTATAATCTAAGAGGACTGCTAAAGGTCATAGGTCTCCCCTCCTTTCCTCCCTTTTATCACATTCTCCTTGAGTCTTGTACAGGTAAAGGAGGACTTAGCCAGTATGTCTGTCCATCATGAAGACAAATTGATTTGGGCTCAGGGCCAGGAGTAAGAAATCTGAAGCATAGACAGCGTGCGATTTAAGAAAGCAGTGGAGAGGAGGATGAAAGAGTAACGGAGACCGAAAGAAACAGCGAGCCAAGATTTGATAAAGCAAAGGAAAGGAGAAATGAGATAAAGACAAAAATAATAAAAGAGGACTACTGAGGGAATAAGAAATATGATGTGCTCTGACTAAGAATGAAGCACACGGCAACAGAAATGCAGAAAGGTGGGGTTCCACTAGGCTCAGAAAATCTCAGTCATTTGGTGTTTAATCTTTGTGTTGATTTTACACAGCTGAATGCATGGCATAACCCAGACATCAATAGGCTGTCTTGGGAATACACACAAACACATACACACTTAACGGCAGAGACTGGTTACTGGTATTTGAGGATAAAGAGGAGGGGAGCATAATGTTCTTATGAAATGGGAGGTGGGGCCCACCTGGTTATCAGCTGAGCTCAAGCTAGCTGAGCACCAAGGGACTGTCATTACCCCCTTGACTCACACTCCCACACACAAAGAGCTTTGGGGCACGCGTTTAAAACATATGGGGAATGGGTACATGGGTCACACCTCGACTCTAGCTGTGATAATCTCGTGGGGATGCGCACACACACACACACAAACACATAAGTGTGTATATGATCAGCAAAACACCAAAACCAACGGTTGAAACACCTCCAGATCACTCTTTTAGTTTGTAACCATGGGTGCACGCTGCTTATCTGTGAGTGTGTGTGTGTCTGATGGGAAATGAACACATTTCCATAGTAATTACAGAGCAACTCATTTCTCCTCTCCAGTTAGAAGTGTCATGAATCATTAGCGCTGCAGTTTTAAACACGGTGCAAAACCTGACATGGCTGTGGCTTTTGTTTTCCCCTGACAGCTGTATCTATGTGTGTGCGTCTAAAACAGATATTTAATATCTTCAATTAAATGCAGCTGACCTGTGATTGCTCGACTAAAGACGCTGCAATAAGACCTTTCCATTTTTTTTACTTGCTAATTTTAGTGATTTTTCACGTTTCACTTTTAAACGACAATTTAAGAACAGTAGTAGAAAAAATGCACAGCTGAAAACAAGCATTGCACTGTCGATACTTTGCCATGTTTAAACAGTTTAAACAGTTCATCTGCTCCTCCAGTCGAAGGTCATTTTCCCCCCATACAGTCTAATCTGTTCCATCCATTGATCACAGCTAGTATTCAATCCTAGCATCTGATGTGGTGTGGTTAAAGTCGAGAAGATTTACAAAAATCTTAACCAAACAGTATCTGTTTTAACAGAGTGACAACCTCCCCCCCCCGTCTGTTTGCTCTCAGCGTGTTGGGTTTGGCATCCCAGTTCAGGAGCTAATAAGCAGAGCAGTGAACGACATCACAGAATAGCACAGCTTGGGGTGCTTTAGTGGCTTCACAACTTAAGTTAATTTTGTTTCCCCTTCCAGGCATCAACACAGTGGTACACAGTTTCAATGATTTATCCACACACTGCATCCACCCACCTTTCTGGCTTTAATTTTTTCATATACCTTTTGGAATCCATCTTCTTTTCTTGTCATTCACTCGGGATTAATTAACCAAATCTTAGAATATCAGTCTCAGATACTGTGTGCTGTAGGTTAAGATACCCTTCTTTCTCTTTACAAGTGACACAGGAGTCAAGGAGATGATATAGTTGTGTTATGTTTTATAATTATATATACACTGACCAAAAACCGACTGAGTGCAACTGCTTAAAACACTGTGGTGCCCGTGACGTACCCTTGTTCAATTACTAGTTTCTTGCCGCATGGATTTACCATACGTTATGACCACTCATAGAGTCTGGTGCAGGAACAGACTTTATAATGAGGAAGTCCTCCTGGATTTCCACTAGCGGATCCTCGATCATGCTGTACTGCACTGTGACGTGAACGCTCCTGGGCTATACTTTGCTGCGTCTGATTTAAAGTACACCCACCAATCACGCAAAAACACACATTAATGGACTTCTGTATCAGTATCAAAGCCGGGCTCTCACCTTTCTCTCTGCCTCACTGTTCCACTTCAGTGAGGACAACAGGCTATCCCTGTCCTCCAAAGCCACACACTCCACATTTGCATATCAATTTGCTTTTTAATATAATACTCTGTCACTCGAGACCCATTTGTCATTCGGCGAGCAAGCTTCTACCCTCGCAGAACTCCATCCATATATTATTTTCGTCGTGGCCCCTCCCCGTTTTCTTCCCTCTTCCTTTCCCCCGCTGCACTTTATCTGTCTGAGGTGTTAAATTCTTCCCTAATTCTGCCTTTAAGTGTCAGATTGCCAACATGTCCTCTCTTTCTTCTTTTTGTTGCAATCCATTCATCCTCTCTGAACAGGCCCTGACTTGTGCTCTTTATGTAGTTGTGCTGCTTTCTTTGTCAGAGAGCGAGATTCACCACTAGGAGCTGGAAGGGGGGATAAAGAAAGATATAGGGAGAAGGAAAGGGAGATTGAGAACGAGAGTGCTGACAGGCAAGAATGCACAATAGGGGTCCAAGCCTGCATACCAACTAACAAGCAATCAGATGGAGGGGAAGAGTAAGGCGAGACAGGAAGGCAGCCGTAGGAATAGAAACTCCAAGGTTAACATAAGTGATGTGGACAGAGAGCGGGAGAGCAGGGGCTGCGTTTGTGCTGCAGCAATCTGAGCTGAAGGTAAAGCAGAAGAGAAAGAAGAGATGCAAACGAAAGGGGGAAAAGTTAAACAGACAAAGCAGCAAGGAGAAGTAAAATCTTTATGAGCAAAACAATGAAGAATGGAAACAATCAAATCAAATCAAAATGTTTAGGCAAAAAGTGTAGGCTGTATGAATTGGGGATACAAGGAGACAAGAAGAACGGGATCAGCAAACTGCTGTTCACCCCTTAAGGAAAGAGAAGAAAGAGAGAAAGAATAAAAGACTTGATAGACAGATTGAGAGCAGATGACAAAAAGAAGAGTGTTAGGCACCAGTTTGGCTGCAGGACATGTCCTGAGAAAGAAAGCACAGCATCTATGCGTCTTGGCTAAACCACAAGGTAATAGGAAAAAAGAAGATGAGAAGAACTGGAGAAATTAAGGAGTTGATTGGACAAATAACAGCTGTGTTTATTTCATCTTATAAAATACATCATATTCACTCAGTTTTTATTAATCCACGTATTCCTGCTCTAAATGAAAGAAAGCCAGATCATTTCATGTTGTTATCATTGCAGATTACTGCAGTGTATGATGGCAAGAACACACCAAAAAACGTGGCCAGGTTTTCAGTTCATTACAAGACAAGCAGAAGATATATCCACACTGAAATGTACTCAAACAGACACTTTGGGGTAGTCAGCCCACTTGACTCTGGGAGGGTAACAGAGCACACAGAGGTTAACTCACATGGACATGAGGTGAATGCTCGATATCAGACTGTGCCGTTGACACTAATGTGGGCT